TAAGGAAGACATGCATCCTTATATGCATGCACATAACATACAAACTTATACATATATAAAATTACTTCTTAATAATACATTTTGCAATACCTTAAAGTAAATTATATGTGCCAATAGTTTTTATTTTAACTTTTAAAAACACATTTGTTCACATAATGCTGGTTCATAGATCATTAGAATAAAATATATTTTTATATTGTGAAATGATAGAAAAGGTGCAAAATTCATTTCTAGTTAGGAGGGAGTAAAGATAAAATCTGTTGATATACAGTCTTAGGACATGCAATTTGTATAGGACATATCTGCTCTAACTAGGTAGAATATATTTTTTACCATTTAAATCTGAACATTATTAATTGTGCTGTGGTAATGGTATTAACTGGGGCTGTTACAAATAAAAACAATGGTCACCTGATTTCTCTAGAAATTTGATATCACCACTGCCCCAAAACAGATACACTAGTATAATTCACAGGGAATATTTTCTTACAACAAATATTTTAATTCTTCACACTACAATAAATGTAATATGAACTATTCTTTTATTATTCTATTATTTGTTGAAAGACCACCTACAAAAAATAATTAAAAATGCTGGAAAGCTGTAAATGACTCTTCAACTTTCTTATCTTTTAGCTAAATAATCTTAATTTCTGATATGTTTATCATTTACTTAATGCCACTCTGCACTAGTGCTATCATCTGAATGTTTGTGTTCCCCAAAATTCTTACATTGACACTTAATCCCCCATGTGGTGGTATTAGGGTGAGGCCTTTGGGAGATGGTTAGATCTTGAGGACTCCACCTTCATGAATGAGATCATTGCTCTTATAAAAGAGACCCAGGGGAGCCTGTTCAGCCTTCTACTGTGTGAGGACACAGCTAGAAGGTGCAGTCTATGAAGTATTGAGCAAGCCCTCACCAGACACCAAATCTGCCGGCACCTTGATCTTAGACTTCTTCACATCTAGAACTGTAAAGAAATACATTTCTGGGCCGGGCGCGGTGGCTCACGCCTGTAATCCTAGCACTCTGGGA